AATAATAATAATAATAATAATAATAATAATAATAATAATAATAATAATAATAATAATAATAATAACAATAATAATAACAATAATAATAATAATAGTAATAGCAATAATAATAATAATAGTGACAATAATAATAATAATAACAAATGTCATTAGCTAATACAAAGTTCAGAATTAAGGGAAAGTTTGTTTTAATAACAGTAATTCAATCTGTTTGTAATATGAAGTAAGAAGATTGTTTTTGTCATTTCATTTTTACCATGTCATTTAAATTTGCCAACATGTGAAACAACGTGTACTAGTTATCAGTAAATATCAATATATATATATATATATATCATTCCCATAGATTCATATAAGCCTACGTTTGCTCATTTTTGCTTTACTTGCTGTAATTGTTATTTTCAAATTTATTGTATTAAACGTATTTGTACATCTTTATTATAGCGCATATATGTTTTAACAGCCATTTTATACATTGTTATTTAATTCGATATTATTTATTAATTTGAAATGGTTTTTCATTTCTTTCCCATTTTCATATCATTAGTATCATATTGCATATATTGTTGATAATTTAAAAAACAATTAATTTGAAAAAAAAAAGAACGAATAGCAGCAATGTCATGGCTTATTTTCATGGCTAAATATGAAATGAAATATGGCATGAATGCATCAGAAAAATGTTTAATCAATTTTGTCGTGCTTTTGTGACATTTTTTTTTCAATACGTACGTGAAAGGATAAATGACATGACGACATCACGTTCTAATCTCATTACGTACATTGTATTTATGAAATATATAATGAAATATTAACATTGATTTTATCATTTTTTTGTTTTTCCAGAGGGAAAAAATGAGCGAATCGGGGTCGTTGGGGACCAGCTCGACGGGCTCCGATGCTACAACGGATCCCTTCAGCCAACTACTCGCCTCAATGGCTCGTCCAATACCCTGTGTTACAGGTATTACTAAATTAGAGATTAGAACTTGATAATTTCTTTTTCCTTTTGGAAGAAATCAATCATCAGTGAGCAGCAATAGCAGCACCAGCAGCAGCAGCAACAAGTATGAGATGAAAGAGGGGGATGGAAATGGGGACAGTCGAGGTCGGGATCGAGATATGAGGAAGCAAATGAAAAGTTATATATGACGTTGCATTATTTAATGATTCCGGAAATGTATTAGTGAAGGAAAAAGTGTTTCTTTTTTCCTTTGTATAATTTACAACTCATTGAAGAATTACATTGCATTAATTGCAAATTTTCGGACCAGGAAATTTCTGGAAGTAGGTGAATGACAAATCTTGTTTTTCTCATTTTACACATATTTTCAATCATTCTAAAATGAGAAAACAACTGAAGTTCTGATTTCATCAAAATCGACCAAATATTTTGCTCAAAAAAGAGAAAAAAAACAACAAATCAATTTTTGATTTAAAGTTAGCAGAAAGAAGCAAAAGGGATGAAGGTAAAGTGTTGAGAGGTAATTTCCGGATTAGCTAATCAGAAATGTGGCGCATCATTCAGGTGAAATCATTAGTATAATCAATTTTATAACTCATAATTCTGTTCTGTCAAGTAAACTATATTATTTATTGGAAGGTGAAAAGAAAAAAAATTGTTGGTAACAGGAGAGGAAGTGATTGATGAATTTGTGTTTTTTTTTTTTTTCGAAATATTGGAAAAAATTAAAACGGTATTTAGGAATCGTTTAAATCCTAAATTTTTCAAATTTTATATCGTTTTAATTTTTACACGAAAGTTTTAAATCGATAAATTTGCAATAAAGATTATATCTATAAGGTAAATTTCCATGACATTTGTAAATGACATTTTGCCATTTCATTGTTTTTTCTCCATTCTTTTCCTTTCCTTTCCGTATTATTTCATTATTATTCTCCAACTTTTTAGATTTTCCACAATATAGAAGAATTTTTTAAAAGAAAAAAATAAAAAAAAAAGAGGGAATGACAATTTGGTTTGACATTATTTTTATTATAATTAATTTTCTTTTTTTTTAAGAAGAATGAATACAAATAATTCATTTACTTATTTCATTTTTCTTTCTTTTTTTTAACTCCTAGAAGAAATAAAATTTTTTGGAGTTAGGCTATCAAATGCCAAACAAAGATAAAAATGATTTTAAAAAATTTGCAAAATCAATTTTTTTTATTGCTTGCCATATAACCAATTTCATTTATTTGGTATTCTTTCAAAAAGGGAAAAAAGAATATTTTATTTCATTTCTTCCAAAAAGAAAAATTTTAATATGAATCTGTGTTGAAAACTTCAATTTATTTATTACATAAATGTAATTAATCATAACTAATTATGACTAATTCATAATTATTCCTCCTTACAAATTAATATTTGTTTTCAACGAAGTTTTTGATGTCCTATAAATTTACATTTTTCCCGCATTTTCAAGTTATTCTAAATTTACATTTTAGCAAATATTTGCTTAGTTAAACAATCAATTTTTGTATTTTTCATCACTATACCTGTTTAGCCTCACAATTTGAATGATTTGTAAGAGAGAGAGAGAGAGAGAGAGAGAGAGATACGGAGGGGAGAGAAGGAGAGAGAGTGTTCCTTCTCAAATATTGCCATGTTTACATTCTTTTTTATAATTCTGATTGTAAAATTTTTGTTTACCATTTTTTCAAAGTTCAAATAATATGGGGGATATAAGAGAGGGAGAGAGAGGGAGAAAAAAAAAAAAAAAAGGGGGGGCAAGTTTGTTCGCTAGATTAGTAATTGATAGATATGGACTTGATTTAAAGGTATTGTAATTACCATTCTCTTTTCTTTCTTCCTTTTCTTCTTTTTTTTTTTTTCAAGACATAATTAGAAATGGCATTTGTAAAATTATTTTACCTAAATTGTTGAAATATAATTTAGTTCGATTAATTTAAAAGAAAGGAAAAAAAGAACAACCAAACTTGTTGTTTATTAATTTACTTACAATTCTTTTAAATTCCTTCTTCTCTTCCATCTTATAATGTTGTTATCTTTAATCAGCTTATCATTTCTGATAATTTTATTTCATGCAGTTGAAAAAAAAAAATCGATTAAATCCATCATCTTTTACATCATCATCTTCTTGTTTTTTTTCCCAGCATATATCAGTCCCGCATCCCGAGATTTCTTTTTATTGTAATGGCGTGTTCTGAATTGATTAAATGAGCATTAAAATTATAGCAAATAAGTAAGCAAATTGAAGAAATAGTAAAAATAAGTAAACAGATTACCATTATTTTTAATAGAAGCTTTTGGACGAATTCAGCAATCTAAAGATCATTAACCATTACCGTATCCATGTGTGTGTGTGTATGTGTGTGTGTGTGTGTATGTGTGTATGTGTGTGTGTGTTGAGTATATAAGCTCCGGAAAGTAAAGTATGCCTTTGGGTAGTTGTTTACGCTTTCTTCTTCATAATATGAATAAAACTTTTTCACATGTAATATAAATACTATACATTATATTATTCATTTCTAATATATACATATATTTGATATATTGTATATACAGATGTACAGACACACGTGCACATACATACATACGTACACACACACATACAGACACATAGACAGACACATCCATACATGAAGGTTTTGTGAGTTATTTGCTCGTTAAAGAGTGGTTGTTTGCTGTGGCAATAGTAAATTTATAATGCATCAAATATATTTTGAGGTTGTTCCTCGGGGATGGGATGAAAAGAGTAAACAAGTGATGCCAGTCGTCTTTCATCCTCCTTTCAATACATATACCCCGATCTCGGTCCCCGTCCTCTGTTAACCGCTTTCTGGTCTATTGTTGTTGGGTTGTTGTATGATCTTCGAACTCTTTGTATATTGATTGCGTCACTAAACCTCATTTATTGACAGATAGGATAGTATACTGAGTAGATTACACTCAATGGATGACATATACATATATCACAACAAAAGATTCGAAACACATAGTTTATCATCATCATCATCATCACTACCATCGTTATCATTGTCATTATCACTACTATCGTTATCATGGTCATCAACGTCATGGTTTTGATGTTAACCATGATGAAAATATATTTTATGAGGAAAACAAAAATCAATTAGCATAAATTAATTTGTGATATTGGGGAAGAAATTATTCAAGATAGTTGGAGAAATTTTGATAAAGCGACAAACAAGAATAACAATAACCATGACAATGACAATAACAATAACAATAACAACAACAACAATAATAATAATAATAGTAATAATAATAATAATAAATAATAATATTGATGATAAGTGACAATAGAAATAACAATAATAATAATAATAATAGTAATAATAATAATAATAATAATAATAATAATAATAATAATAATAATAATAATAATAATAATAATAATAATAATAATAACTAATAATAATAATAAGAAGAAGAATGATAATAATGACAACAATAATAAGATTAGCAACAGCAACAACAACAAATAACAGATTTGTTTATGGAATTGCAGTTGCGCAATGTTAGTGTTTTGATGGAATCGTATGACTAATTAGTGATAGATTAATTGCTCTGAAATAAATTTGTTTTGATCAGATTGCTAGATTGATGTAAATTAGAATTATGGATCAGGGCAAGTAGTAGCTACAATCCATCGCTAAATAAGGTTAGATTTGGGTAGGGTAGGGTAAAGTGTGGGAAGAAGGAGGGCAAATTAGAGGGAAAATTAGGAATATCTTATTTGTGCTTTCATATGATTGTTGGCACAAAATATTTAATTATTGTTTATATGTATATGGAAAGCATCAGTGAAGGCAACGAGAGAGGCAGGAAAAGAAAGAGAAAGAAGGATAAAGGAGAACTGAAATTAGTGACCAGGAAAAGTGATGATGGCGATGTTGATGATGATGGTAATGATGATATATGTAAATGATAATGGTAATGATGATAATAATAATAATAATGATAATAATAGTAATAGTAATGATAATAATAATAATAATAGTAATAATAATAATAATAATAATAATAATAATAATAATAATAATAATAATAATAATAATAATAATAATAATAATAATAATAATAATAATAATAATAAAATAATAATAATAATAATAATAATAATAATAATAATAATAAT